TCACTTGACACCCCCTAACCAAGCCACTGTCATCTGTTGTCTGAACCATGACAGGGTCTCTGACTGCTCAATTCCTTTCCCCTCTGTTACCTTTAAATAATTCTCCCTGTCTTATCAAGTATGGTATTTTTAAAATGCAAATCTGTTTGTGCTACTCGCTTCCTTAAAATATCATTCAGTGGCTTCCCAATAAAGCCCAAGATGCTTAATTCAGCTCTGCAAGACTTGATCCTTGCCTTAGCATCTTTGCATTGCTTCTTGCCTTAGAGCTCTGCACATGTTAATCTCTCTCCCACTCCACCCTGCACCTTGCCCCATGGCTGAGCCAACTCCTAATTCTTTCTATAATGAAGCAGTATATTAATGGATTTGCTCATTAATTTATTCATTAAAATAAATATTTTTCTTAGCTTAAATACCACTTTCTTGGAGGAGCCTATTTTGACCTCCACTCCCAGATCTGAAAGCTCTGAACTTCTCTCATAGCACATTACAAGGGCAGGTGAATAACTAATGAATAAACAGCACCCAGTACTGTCTCCCCCTGCTGGAAGATAAGCTCTTCGGTGGCAGGGATACATCTAATTTACTACTCTACCGCCACTACTCATAGGGTTCTTGGTGCATGATAATGCTCAATAAACATTTGTTTCACAAACGAATAAGTGAATCGTTGGGTACACACCTGCTGTTGGGTTGTTCTGCCAGAGACTGGGGAGCTGAAAGGTGTGGGTGCTATAGGGAGCAGACAGACCGACTTTTCTGGTCACCCCTCCCTCCATCCTCCTCACTTCTCCCACTCGCCTTTTCCACCTTTTCCGGGCTAAACCAAAACACCGCAGTATCTGTCTCATCATGGGCTCCCCTGAAAGCACCCCATTGAAAATAATGCTGCAGACTGGATATTTGTGAAATGCTCATGGACACTGTACCAGGAAAAAGAAGATTCTCCCTGCTAGTACTGAATTAGAACAAAACCCACAGGAAAGGCAGGGGTTGTAACTCAGTGGTAGAACGCTTGCCTAGCATGTGTGAGGCACTGGGTTCAGTTCCTGGCACTACATAAAAAAAAAAAAAAAAAAACCCACAGGGGGCCCAACCCATGATCTCCAAGGCAGGGGGGCTCTCAGTGGTGAAAATAGTCCTTTCAGTCAGGATTTTTTTCTGTTGCAAGTTTTTGTTATTTTAAAAATATTAACACCGAGATGTACGCTTATAGTCTAAAGATATAAAAAGGTGAAAAAAGCCTTAATTCTAGGTGCTGAATTTCTCTAACCAGAAGCAGTAAGTTTTCAGAAATATTCTGGGCCAACACAAGAAAACTCATATATATATTCTCTTCACACTTAACCCTTTACAAAAAGGGATAGCGCATGTTTATATTGTTCTATAATTTTTTTTATTTAACAATACAGTTTGAGAATTGTTCCATATCAGTTTATATAGAGTTATTTCATTCTTTTTCATACCTGTATGGTACTATATTAAGTGTATGTCTTATTATTATTTGTCCAATACTTTATTTATGGTACCTCCCAATCTTTTGTTATTATAAACATCAATGTATTAAATATATAAATTTTATATTATCTCTATTTGTTTTCTGGCATGATTAACACATAGAAATAGAATGGCTGAATCAAAAGTATAGATTGTAAAAGTTTTTGTAGATATTACTTAACTTCCCTCTGTTTATAGACTGAATTATGTCCCCTACCTCCTGCAAATTCATACACTGAAGCCCTGACCCCAAATGTGACTATATGTGGAGAAACAGTACTTATAAGAGAACCACTGTCTCCCCAAACTGTCACCAACTTGGAATGCAGTCAAACATTCAAATTTTATCTTTGCCATTCTGATAGGGAAAAAAAATGATATCTCAGGTAGGTTTATTTTATATGTATATTCAGCAAGGCTGGACATCTTTTCATGTATTTGAGAGACATTTGCATTTTTTTCCTGTGAATTGTCTGCCAGATCCTTCCCCAAACTTTCTATTGGTTTGTGTTCTTATTGATTTGTAGACCTACTTTATATTAAGAAAGCAAACCCTTTGTGATGAGTTTTAAACATTTCCCACAATTTACTTGATATCTTTTAATTTTGTGAGTTTTTTCACTTAAAAATGTTCAAGGAATCCAATTTATCAATCTTTTCATTATTGCCTCTTGGTTTGCAGAGAATTTTAAATGGTTTTCCCAAGCTGACTTAAAAATAAGTGTCTCAGTAGAATTAATTGGACATAACTTTCCTAGCCTTATATCTGTATATACAACCAGGGTAACTCCACATCATGTACAATCTACAAGAGTGGGAATCTAAACAGAATAAATTATACTTTATGTATGTATATTCTGCCCAAATACATTCTACTGTCATGTATAACTAAAAATAAAAAAAATTTAAAAATAAAATATATAAAATCATATGTGTCACATCTTTTAACACTTTTAGGATTTAATGTTTTATATTTAGACTTTTGATTCATCTAGAATTTATTTTAGTGTGTGGTATAAGTAGAAAAACAACATTATCTCGGCAAGCTGGGTGTCCCCAAATCATTTACTGATAGACCTTTATTTTCTGCCATTAATTTCAAGTGTCACATTTAATATATACTTAATGCCTGTGTTTTGTTCTATGGATTTATTAAGTTACAGTAATATCATATTATGTTTTAATATCTAGGAAGACTGGGCATATTTCATTACTGTTTTAGAAATTTCATTTTGAAATTTAGAATCAATTTACTTTGAAACAAACATTTTCTTAGTGTTTTTATTGCGCATACATTGAACCTAAGATCAACTTGGGATGAAAAGACATCTTAGTGATGTTGAATCATCCTACCCAAGATGATAATCTGCCTTTTTATTTGCTCAAGTCTTATTTTGTGTCTGTCAATGGCAGTTCAAACATTTTTTTCTGATAGTTCTTATATATTACTTAAGTTTATTTCTTGGTCGGTCTTTCTTTCTTTCTTTTTCTAACTGATAGTTGGAACCAATTACATTAATTATATTTTCTAGTTAGTAACATTTAATTACATTTTGTAATTGGTTATTTATTTATTAAATATTTATTTTTTAGTTTTAGGTGGACACAATATCTTCATTTTATTTTTATGTGTTGCTGAGGATCGAACCCAGTGCCTCATGTGTGCTAGGCAAGCACTCTACTACTTGAGCCACAATCCCAGCCCTGTAATTGGTTATTTATTGTAGATATAAAACTACTGTATTAGCTGCTATAATTTTGGTATTAGCTAGCTTATTAAATTATCTCAACTTTTATCATTTTTAGTAGATTCATCTTTTCTAGGCAAAAATCATAGTATCTTCAAATAATCAAAATTAGAGCTGGGGTTGTATCTCAGTGGTAGAGCACTTGCCTAGCATGGGTGAAGCACTGGGTTCGATCCTCAGCACCACATAAAAAACAAATAAATAAGAAGTGTCTTTTCAGTTGCTTGGGTATTAATTGGGTTATTTGTTTTTTTGGTGTTAAGATTTTTGAGTTCCTTATATATCCTAGACATTAGAGTTCTATCTAATGTGCATGTGGTAAAAATTTGATCCCATTCTTTAGGCTCTCTATTCACCTCACTGATTCTTTCTTTTACTAAGAAGCTTTTTAGTTTGAATCCATCCCATTTGTGTACAACCAGAGACATGAAAAACTGTGCTCTATATTTGTACTATGAATTGAAATGCATTCTGCTGTCATGTGTAATAAATTATAATAAATAAATTTGGGGGGCTGTGGTTGTGGCTCAGAGGTAGAGCGCTTGCCTAGCATGAGTGGGGCACTGGATTCAATCCTCAGCACCACATTAAAATAAAGATATTGTGTCCACCTTTACCTAAAAAATAAATAATAATAATAATAATAAAATTTTAAAAACAAATAAATAAAAAATTAAATTCTTGTAAAAAAAACCTAACTTCTTTAATTCTTATGAAGAATTCTTTTTTTGAAGGCAAGAGTAGGAAGGCAGCAGGGTTTTTGTTTTGTTTTACACAAAATAAGATTTTTCAAATAGGTAACAGTTCAAAGTTTTGAAAGCATAAACAGGTAAACAGCAATAAAGAAATAAATCATCTTTCTACCCCATCACCCAGTATCCCTGATCACAGGTAACAGCATTTTTCATAATTTTATATCCTTCCAGAGGCATCTCACACATATGCAGCAGGTATTGCTGCCCCTGGGCCTGCCTCCAGTGACAGTCTCAGACGTCCAGGCAAAAACTGAGCTCTAGAAGGCCAAGGAAGACCAGATATGAGATCCTTTCCCATGTCTTATATGTCTCAGTGACTATACAAGGAGAAATTGAAAAGATCCAAGGCTGAGCTCCAAGACAGTTCCATCTTCTCTGGTAGGTTTTCCCAGACTGTGGTCTTAAAAGAGCCTTCTGCTTTAGAACTCTTCCCCCATACTCTGCAACAAACTCTACCTCCTTATCTCTTTCACACAGATGAATTCCAGACACACATGTTCTCTCCTTATATTATCAAAACATCCCATGAGCATCTAGCAATGCAATTCAGAGTTGGACATGGGCCTCCTGTTTAGGGAGTCACCTTCCAGGGTTTTCCTTTGTTGTCCAGATAACATCTCTGAGGGGCTCTTAAAGCCACTGAAGAAACAGGCTTAGAGGTTTCTTGGGGGATCTTCCAGATGGTAGGTGTTGCTGGTTGCATCTCTCACTCCAGGCCTGATAGTCATATCCCTAGCTGGGTCCCCTGGCACAAGAGATAGAACTCAGGAAGGGTTACTCCCAGCAGCTGGTCCAGGAGATAGCAGCAGGGAGGGAATAGGAGAAAAGAAACCTGTCAGGCGACTCACAAGAGGAGTGGAGAGAAATTTTGCTATTTACAAATTTTTACGCACTTGATCATTTCTTGTCTGCAAGAGATTTTCAGAGAGGGAACCCAGAGGCAATAATTCAAGACAGGCATTTCCTGTGCTGAATTGGATGAAGGTGGCCTACAGTCATGGGACAAGGTGAGCCAAGCCACAAGGCTTACTGAACTGTCATTAATTCCTCCATTATTATGTGTTTTCATTAAAGAAAGTAGGATGACAGGAAAGGTGATGGTGGGGGAGGGGAGGGGAAATGATAGTGTGGCTGTGGTGGGATAAATAAGTGGGTGCTGGTGGAGAGAAGATGGTGGTACGGCTATGCAGTGGTAATGGGTAGATGGTTGGTGATAAATTAGTGGTCATAGTTGTGATGATGATGGTGTTTAAAATGGATTTACATCCTTTTCCCAGGATCATCATAACCTGATAGTTCAAGCTCACTGGGCTGTGATACAAATGAGAGGCACCCCAGAAAAGCATGAGTCCAATAAAAGGAAAGGGGAGGTGAGAGTCAGGGAATCAACTAGAAGGGGCAGACGCAGACATAAACATCAGGCAGACCTGGGGGGTACAGAAGCTTCAGGAACCTCTGCAGGGGTCCATCAGCACAGGCTCAGGCCCAAGGTGCCTCTGAGAAACTCTCCATAGGGCTGACTCGATGTTCTCATCCATTCACTGACTGGGCAAACACTGACTGGGTAACTATTGTATTCAGCACACTGCTGGGCAGGAGATGCAGTTATGAAAAAACACTACCTCAGGAAGTTCAGTGGGAGGGGTAGCAGAGAGGAAAACTGGATGGCTATAAACTAAATGCTGAAAAGAGTGAAGCAGAGTATATGGGAACTCAGAGGACTGATCTCCGCCTGGAGGAGTCAGTGAAGGCTTTGTGGGGGGGGGGGGKGTCTTAGGATCCTGGAAAAGAGTAGGCATCAACCAGGTAAAAAGAGGCAGGAGAAGAAGCCTTCCTGACTGACCCAGAATCCGAATGGATCCTGAAGAGTGGCTCTTCTGTAACACTGTGGTCATTAAGTCATGAGGTGGACTCAGATACACCAAGGCTCAAATCACATGACTATTCACCATTCCACCATTCACCAACACAACCAGTCTAAAGAGGCAGGGCTTGTTCTGGTCCCCAGCAAATAGAGAGGAACCGTTTCTGGTTTCTGAGTACTGCCATTTTCTTTTTTTTTTTTTTAATATTTATTTTTTAGTTCTCAGCGGACACAACATCTTTGTTGGTATGTGGTGCTGAGGATCGAACCCGGGCCGCACACATGCCAGGCGAGCGCGCTACCGCCTGAGCCATATCCCCAGCCCATGCCATTTTCAATTTACAAATCCCAGCCTTGCTGTGGCTATTTTATTTATTGCAATGACCTAACCAACCCACTGGTGGACAAAGGGGTAAAAGGAGTACCTAGGGACACCAGGATTAGACGCACAGAGAGTTTCCTTTTCTCCTCTGTATACTTTCACACTCCTTCATATGAACAATGTCACTTCTTGCCCCCCATTTTTATATCAATGGCATCTTCCGTCAGCTCCATCACTAATGAAAGGAATATTAGTGGAGATGAGATATTTTCTTTTCTTTATCCTTCCCTTCTGCTCTTGAGCTCTAAGTCAGAAAGTTTGGGAACTGATGGAAATTGGAAGCAGAATTGAATTTGCCAAAATATCTTGGAGCCTGAAGAACTTTGCCATCAGGGTCAGATCATTTCCCTGAAGTAGGTTTGACTCTATTCCACACCTGTCAGCAAAAGCCATAGCTTCTCTATCCCAGTAGCTGAGCCCCTGCAAACACTGCAGGCCACCTTCAGACTAGAGAGACTCCCAACAGCCCTCTGTTGTCAAAGAAATTAAAAAGTTCACAACTTTGCACAAGGAACTGAATTTTCTTTTAACAGCATTGTGCCTTATCTTGGACTTGCCAATGATATTTTAAAAAAATTTTTGTTTCCTTGTATTTCCTCCTCTCCATAAAATAAAAATTAATTGATAGACTTCTCTCAGGCCACCTCCTTGTAGAGTTTCTCTGAACAGTGTGGTGCTGAGATTTTGGTAAGCCTCTAGGTCACTGAACACACATGATCTCAAAGGAACTAGTTCTACTCTCAGCCTCACTCTTTTCCTCTTTAGGACAAGAGAACTGGATCTCAAAACGAGTTCTGAAAATTACCCAATTGCAATCTAAGAAAAAATGAGCAAGGATGAACAAAATTCTGGATCTCATCCATTGCTTGGAATTGGGAACATAAAAGGATATCAACAATGAGAACAAGCATTGCTCTCCATAATAATAATAATAGCAATACCACTTCATGGGTTTTAATATGTCTGACACGTACAAAAATATATGATCTTACTTAATCCCCACAAACTCTGTAAGGAGGGTTAATAATTATAAGGAGAAGGAAATTGAGGCTCAGAGTTTGCACAGCTAATAAGTAAGGTGAAACGATGACTTGAACCCTTGTCTCTCTGACTTCAGAATCTCTGCTTTTACTTATATTGTTACATTTACCCCGTATCCATGATTTTGATCTTTTTCACAATAGCTCTGGATATTGAGAGTTGTGATTTCCAGGTAGCAAAAAACAACAAGGAGCACCATACCAGTGCCATCAGCTCCAGGCATCTCATTGTGCGGAGGGGGCAGCCCTTCACCATCAGCTTGCACTTCCGTACTTCAGTCCACAGATTTCTTCCTACCCTGAAGAAGGTGGCCCTAATTGCACAAACTGGTAAGTGGACAGGCAATGGGACATCTTTGGCAATGGGACTGTGGGATTTCTCTCTCCAAAACAAAAGAGAGAGGAAAAAGGAAAAAAAGGCCCACACTGTCATGGGGTCTTAAGAAGTCCTGCCCACCTGGAGATGCCATGAGATAGTGTGCATAATAAATGCTGTCTGTTACGATTCAGAATTTGCTCAGCAGCATTGTCAAAGGGGGTTTCTTTTGGTTGTAAACTTAGTTTTTGTAGAAAAGCCTGAATGGGCTCTAACTCAGGGTAAATATAATATCTAATTGCCACTATTTGTTAAATCTGTACTACATGTCCAATATTTTTAAAAAATATTTTTTAGTTATCAATGGATCTTTATTTTATTTATTTATATGCAGTGCTGAGAATCGAACCCAGTGCCTCACACATGCTAGGCAGGCGCTCTACTACTGAGCCACCACCCCAGCCCCTACCTGTTTAATATTGAGCCCAGTACTTCATGTGCAATATCAGTCCTCACATTGGCCTCCCCACTCCCCTACTCTTTTTTTTTTTTGTAACTGAGAATGAACCCAGGGGTGCTTAATGACTGAGCCATATCCCCAACCCTTTTATTTTTCATTTTGAGACAGGTTCTTGCTAAGTTGCTTAGGGGCTCGCTAAATTGCCAAGGCTGGCTTTGAATTTGCAATTCTCCTGTCTCAGCCTCCTGAGCTGCTGGGATTATTGGCATACACCACTGTGCCCAGCCTTTCTCCCCCACCTTTTTTTCATATATTTTATTGGTGCATTATAGTTGTACATAATGTGTGTTTGTTGCTACATATTAGCAGATGCACACAATATAATTATATAATTTGGCCAATATAATTTCCCAGTCTTTCCCTTTCACATTGTCCTTATGAAGCAATTACAATCACCCCTCCATATCCATGGGTTCCCCCATTCTCGGATTTAACCAACCACATATGGAAAATTCCCTGGGAGTGGATTATGTCTGTATTGAATACATAGACTTTTTCTTGTCATTATTCCTTAAACAATATAGCATAACCAACAATAAAAAAGGAGACAATAAAAAATATAGCATAATGACTATTTACATAGGACTCACATTATATAAGGTATTATAAGATATACAGAGATTATTTAAGATATATAGGAGGATGTTCATGGGTTATATGCAAATAACTAAGCCATTTTATATAAGGGACTTGAGCATTCTCAGATTTCTGCAGGAGGTCCTGGAAAAAAATCCCCCACATATAGGGAGGGATGACTACATTAATATGGCCATATTATTGACTGTGAAACTTTCGAAAAGTGTAAGCAATGAACAATGAGAGCCTGTGCTCTCCTTTACCTTTTATTGTTCCTCATTACTGGCTAGGCCTCTTTCGTTCTCCTCCAACACAAACTTTCACCTCCCCCATCTTTGTAATACCCTGACTTTCTTATTCTGATTGTGACCAAGAAGTCCAAATGGCTGATTTATCATTGTGGGATTGCAGGACAGCAACCTTCCAAGACCAACAGGACCCAAGTCACTCTTCCCATTTCCACTATGGGAGACCAAAAATGGAGTGCAGCAGTGGAAGAGAGAGATGCCCATTTCTGGGCCATCTCTGTGACCACATCTGCTGATGCTGTCATTGGCCACTACTCACTCCTGCTTCAGGTCTTGGGTGAGAAGGAACACCTCTTGGGCCAGTTCACAGTGCTCTTTAACCCATGGAGTAGAGGTAAGTTTGGACCCAGGCTACCCTGGGCTGCACCAAGGCATTGGAGCTGAGGTGAAGGTCTGGGAGGGAGCCTTCTCAGACGCAGCATCTTGTCTGGGTATCACCCTGGTAGAAGCAGCCTGGGGCTTTTCACTGAAACTCCAGGTGCTGGCTCAGGTTATTTCAGTTGTGTGAGTTGAGACTCACTTAAATAACCCTAGGAAAGTTACCCTTTAACAGTAAAGGGGCAAAAGCTGGAAAAGGCTGCAGGAAGGCCATGGGATAGGCTTCTCTGTCATTACCTGTCACCTTTAGTCTATCTCCAGGGTGTAGTCAGGTTTTCTGGGGCCAGAGCTTTTATAATTTGAAGGACCCTTTTAAAGAAAAACAATACAATTGAATTGAATTGCTAACCCTCTCCAAGAGGGGGACCTGTGGAGGAGGTCTGTGTTAGTGAGGGTTCCCAAGCTTCATCAGCTTCACAGTAAATGTGCCCAGTTTTGCTTTGCTTGTCTCCATTTGTTTGTTCTGTTCTTGAGACAGATTACAGGGTCCTCTCCATTTTAACTTGTCCAAATATCTAACTGGAGCCCTATAATTCAGCCAGCTTATAGGTGGGCTCCCCTGGGTCATGCAACCTCATGTGGCTCATTAAGTGGCCACCTCTAGCAAAGCTGAGCCCTGATTGAGGCTGGGGCTATTACATCTAGAAAGGGCTATTGAGGGGCTGGAGTTGTGGCTCAGTGGTACAGAAAGTGCCTAGTACAAGTGAGGCACTGGGTTTGATTCTCAGAACCACATAAAAAAGAATAAAGATATTGTGTCCATCTACAACTAAAATTATTTAAAAGAAAGTACAGGCCATTAGACATGACTGATTTGCCCAAATTAGGACCCAATGGGGCATATTTTCTTCCTTCCCATTCTGAAGATTGGATCTTTCCTTTCCTTTCTAAATTTGCCACACCCACCTTAATCTGGTGGGCTCCATGAAGGATTGATTGGGAGAATGGAAAACAGTTCCTCCTGGCTTTCCTGTCCTTGAGACTTCAGATCTTGAAAGACCCTTTCATTTCATGAGTTTCTCTGCCAGCCTGAGGGCCCCCCTTTAAAAGGCAAGATGGAAAGTCAGAGGAAACATGGAAAGTAAAAGAATCTTCACAGATTCCTAGAGCCCTATCCTGGACCCAGGTCCTGACTATGTTTCTCTGTGGTATCTGAAGCCCAGTGGCCTCACTCTCTCTACTTCTCTCATCCAGGGTGGTGTTTTCCAATCCCTACTGCCTGCTTTGGATGGTCCTGCGAGTCTTCAGTTCAGACCCTTCTTTCCTGTTCCAAAGGGGTAGGCAGGTGGAGCAACAGATGGGAATTAGTGTCCATTCAGAAGCCCTTATTCCATGTGGGTGAACATGGATTCAGGGCCCTTTGCTGACAGAGGCCCCATGGATCTCCACATAGGGAAGACCTTCAAGCCATTTCTCCCAAAAACTGAGGCTTTGGTGTACCTCTCATTAACTAACTGAGTCCAAATCCAGAGCTAGAGCCTGGAAGCCATAGTAAAGACGAGCAAAGACAGTACTAGAACAGTGCTGGGTTCAAAGGGAAGCCACAATCTTGACTGGTGCCAGGATTCCTGGCTTCATGCTTCAGTGAAGCATGCTCACATGCTCAGGCCACTTAAGGAGGCCTTTCATGTGAGTGTGCCAGTGTGCATGGAGGTGTCGGTCAGGGCAGTGGTGAATTGTTGGCTCTGATCCTTTGGGAGATGACAAAAAGAGGTTGAGAGACCAGGCAATGGCACATGCCTGTAATCCCAGGGGCTCTGGAAGCTGAGGCAGGAGGATCACGAGTTCAAAGCCAGTCTCAGCAAAAGTGAGGTGCTAAGCAACTCAGTGAGACCCTGCCTCTAAATAAAATACAAAACAGGGCTGGGAATGTGGCTCAGTGGTCAAGTGCCCCTAGGGTTAACCCAGTACCAAAAAAAAAAAAAAAGAGGTTGAAAGATTCTCTGGCATCTCAGTCTCAGCGTATTTAGGGGCTTTCCTGGATTCAAAAGGAATGTTTACCTCATATGATGAAAGTTATGCCATGGACTTTATAAAGGAAGCTGTATCCCAACAGAGAAGAGGTGGTAGTGCTGCCTGTGCTCTTCCCAGAGCCCTACAGATCATGGGACCAAATACCTCCATTTGAAGTGATTTCTGAAGAAGTGATACGTGGCTGACTTCATAGAGAGTACTCAGAATGAATGCACAGGAGTTAAAGGCTCCTTGGAATACAGTTCTGTGATTTTAGACCCCAGATTTAAAGGATTTCCTGATTTAGAATATTCTATCCTTCTCTTGCCTGGAGTACCTTCATTTCAGCTTGATGCCTGTGGAGGGCCCCAGAGAGCTGTAGCCCATTAGCTTTTCTGGATGGCCTAGAGATTTTTATTTTTATTTATTTATTTTTTGTACCAGGTATTGAATCTAGGGTCACTTAACCACTGAGTCACATCCCAGCCCCCGCCCCCCTTTTTTTGTATTTTATTTAGAGACTGGGTCTTGAGTTGCTTAGGGCCTTGCTAAATTGCAGAGATTGGCTTTGAACTCACAATCCTCCTGCCTCAGCCTTCCAATCTTCTGGGATTACAGGTGTGCAACTTGCTCCCAACCTGGAAATCCTTTTAAGAGTTCCCAGGAACTAGTCTAACTGCCCCCACTCTTCCACATCACCAAGTCAGAGAGATAAGACTTGGCAAGCAGAGCTGTTCCCTGCACTGCTCCCAGCTTCCTAGAGTGAGCCATGGTCTCCTCCAAAGTTGCCTATCCTCCTTATGATGCCCAGCCCAGCCCTGGGGTGAGGAAAGCAGAAGGAACTTCAGGAAGAGATGGTAGGAGTCTTAGACCTAAGGCACTGCTCCTTCCTCCTGTCTTGCCTCAACTCCTCTTCCCTCTGCTCACTCCTGTTTACCTATGACTTCCCTTGAGCTGATACTGCTCTGTCTGCAAACACCTACTGGAAACTATTCTGCATTTTAAGGTTGTCTTGTTCCTGTCTGCCTGGCTAACCATGAAGGCCACATCCTGACTGATCCAGGAATTCTGGGCCAGGTCTCAGAACCGGCAGTGGAAGAGGGACTTCTTCCTGGATCTTTATTAGGCCCAGAGCTGCAAGGGAGTCCTATAGCCAAATATGACCTGGACTGGGAAGGCAGAGATCTGAGTACAGAGGGCAAGTCTGGCACCCCTCAAACCCTCATTCTTTCTTTCTTCTTGCCAGAGGATGATGTATTTCTACCAAATGAGGCTCAACGCAGTGAGTATGTGTTGAACCAGAATGGTCTTATCTACCTGGGCACGGCCGACTGCATCCAGGAAGAGCCCTGGGACTTCGGCCAGGTATTTGGGACCTCCAAGGGAAGAAAAGGACAGTGGCTATCCTATAATCTTCCATGTTCAGGCCAGACAGAGCTGCCAGATCCAAAAGTCCCTGATTGTGAGATCATTTCTTAAGCCCATTTTAGCCCTGTAGTACCTCCCTTTCTACTGGGTCTCATCACACCACCTTCCACAGCTGCCAGAGTTATTGTCCCCAAAGCTGTGGCACATGAAGTCTCTATTAAAATAATCTCTAATGTCTACAGAATCAAGACCAAGTCTCCTGGCCTGATACCCAAGGCCCTTCCAATGAGGCACTGCTTTCCTTTCCCAACAAGCTGCCCCGTGTCCTAGCTGCAGAGCGTGAAGGCTGAATGTTTCCTCTGCCTGGAACAGCTTCTCCCTTTATCCTCTGGAAACTCCTATCTATCTCTTAAGACTTCCTGAAACAGCTTCCCCCATACCCTAAAGGCAGAGGGATTCTCTTCACTGCATTCTCTCCTCTGCATTGGTGTCTCTATAGAGCCCTGAAATCTAAGGGCCATGTATCTATCTCTAGCTCTAAACTGGGGGCTTCTCCAGAGCAGGAGTTACCTTGATATCCTCCAAACCTGCCTCAGGTATGGGGCAGTAGGAGCTCATGAAATAAAACAGTGATGGTCCTCAAGAGTTCACACCCTCTCATGTGCGTCAAATAATAGAATAGGCAAAGGTCTGGATGCTGGGACATAGGGACCAGGAAGCACAGTGGGAGAGAGGGAAGAGACAGAACTCCCACAAGAGACAAGGAGGCAGGGGAGGAAGGTGCAGAAGGGAAGGTGAGATGATGGGGCCGTCCTAGGGAATGAGTGCCTGACCTGGAGACCCTTTATTGTGGCCCTGTGTGGTCTTACAGTTCGAGAAGGATGTCATGGACATCAGCCTGGGCTTGCTAGGCATGGACAAGCATATGGAGAAGTGGAGTCAGCCTGTGCACGTGGCCCATGTGTTGGGTACCTTGGTGAGTGAGAAGTGGGAGCCAGAGGGAAGAAGAGATGGGAAAAGAGCCCTTTGACAGACCTATCCCACCTGTCCTGGAAGTCCTCAGAATCACAAACAGTCCCCTCTCCCAGGATGTGAGAAATAGTTCCCAGAGAAAAGCCCTGCTAAAGAGGGAAGAAGTTTAGGCAATAGCCTCCACAGGAGCAATAAAAGAAAAAAAAAGTATCATTCAGAAAAAGGCCAACTGAGGGGCTGGGGTTGTAGCTCAGTGGTAGATTGCTTGCCTAGCATGTGTGAGGCAATGGGTGCAATTCTCAGCATCTCATATAAATAAATACAATATAGGTCCATCAGCAATTAAAAAAAAAAGCCAGATGAGAAGGAAAACTGGTCTGGGATTCCTCAGAGGACTCCTCCCCAATCCTTCCACTGCACCCTCCCAGACCCAACTGTAGTGTCCACATTACCAGTGCTTGCTGCTACCATGGTCAAAGGGACCTGTCTTTATTTCTAAGAATAATGCAGACCACGAAGGTAGCTTGGTGGTTTTCCTTGCCTCTGAAAGTTCTTCCATAGGAGTAATGTGCTATTTCCTTAGGTGCCTCTAAAGTCCACTCTGAAAAGGAAGTAGCACCAAGGCCAGCCTCTATGGAGGAAGAAGCCTCCAAGACACAAGGCAAACTAAGTCAAAGGAGTCAGGGCAAGGGAAGCTAATGACCAATGACCAAGCACCTCCCAGCAGCTTTCTTGCTCCTCTCTGTGGCTCAAGCAGGAGAACTTATTTAAAAACGTAATCCCGGGTCTGAGTTCTAGCAATGACAACCCAGTGGGTCTAGGATGGAGTCCAGAAGTATTCAGATTTAACAAGTCTCCAGTAATTCTGATTTGTGCTTGGAGAGATGCAGTGAACCCTCATGTATTTCATGTATTTTGTGCCGTGAGACTCACACCCACACATTTCCCCAAACAGCTGCAAACTCTCAAGCAGAGGAGTGTCCTGCCCATCCCACAGGCCCAGACTGCCCAGGAAGAAGCCCTGCTTAACAAGCGCCGGGGAAGTGTACCCATCCTGCGGCAATGGTTCACCGGTCAAGGGCGACCTGTGTATGAAAGTCAGGCCTGGGTGTTGGCTGCTGTTGCTTGCACAGGTACAGAGCAGGCAACACATAAGTCAGTTACCCGGGCTGCTGTATACTGTCTGTCCTGTGTCCCGAGTTGCCCCTTGACCTTCCATCTGGGAGGGACATCTCCAAAAACAGGCACAAACCTCTACTTTGCAGCTTTCCCCATTTTCATCACGCCCATAAATGGTTCAGCCTTATTAAGAAACCAAAACCACTTCCTGGTAACTCCTTGTCCCAACCAATCCTCCCCAATAGCTTTTGTTTCTTTTCCTCTCAACAAAGCTGGGCCCTTTTTCAACTGTACTAAGTCACTTTCTCTCAGAAACATTCCCTCACCCTGCTGCAAAAGAGCAAGTTCTATCCTCTATTCTGCAGTCCTCTCCCATGCTCTATATTCAAGTGTGGGGTAATTTGTACCTCCATGATCAGTCTTTATACGTTCTGTTCTTGAGTGCCAGTTCTAACTTCCTGGTGCTGTGCTCCTCCTCCTTCCACAGTGTCATTTGACATTTAAAACAAAGTTTACCCAGAAGAGACACTGAAAATTCTAGCCATATGCATTGTGTCCACTCCCTCGGCCCCAACTTCTCTGCTCCCTCTGACACCTATCAACTACCTTTTCTCTGCAGTGCTGCGATGCCTGGGAATCCCAGCCCGTGTTGTTACCACATATGCCTCAGCCCAGGGTACCCACGGGGACCTGTTGGTGGACGAGTACTACAATGAGGAGGGGATCCAGAATGGAGAAGGTCAGAGAGGACGCATCTGGTAAGAAGCCCAAAGGAGATGGGGTTCCAGATTAGGAAGAGCTCCAAACCCTTTTGGTATAGGCCCATGGGAATCCCCACATCCCGAGTGGCTCTGGTACTCAGAGTAGGCCTTCAGGACTCTTAGAGGCAGGTCAGTCATGTGTGTACTCCCCTTCCTGGAAGTGTTATGGCCACTTTTACAGTGTCTTCCCATCCCCATGGTAACAATGACTCTGCTACGCCTATTTCTAGAACCACCTACATACTCTTTTTCTTCCCATTTGCATTTGATACCTTCAGGATCTTCCAGACTTCCACGGAGTGCTGGATGACCAGACCTGATTTTCGTTACCCACATTATGCCGGATGGCAGATTCTGTATCCATATGTTCCTAATAAAGGTGAAGGTAAAGTCTGGGAGTGGGCTCAGGACTACCCAGGGCTGCAAGAACTGAAGAGGTCCCCCAGAGAGAAAACAGGAGGAGCAGGTGTACCAAAGGGGATCTTGTTCTCTAAAACAGGAGAAGCAGAAGGAAGAATAGTGGCCAGCAGAAAGCTGACCTGATACCAGCATGCTTAGCCACACAGGGAAATATCTTAAGATGCCTGGATAGTGCAAGTGCTAGGGCAGGGCTAGCAGCATAGGATTTCTGAGGTTCTGGATAGGGATGATGAAGGTCTCAGGATAGGCTCAAGCTCAGAAAAGGAAACCAGCAGCCATGGAAAGGGTTGTTCCTTGCTCAGAAATAGAACTGGCAGATAGCAAGTGCTTAAGAAAGATGACCAATTCCTGTCATATCTGTAGTTGAGCTGGCTTGGGAACTCCCATGTATGACACATGTTCCTCTGACATCCTTCCTGGCCAGTTTCAGAGAGGGCTTTAACCAGAAAGTATTTTTACTACATAGTTGTCTCACCTCTCTCCTCTAAGAAACTGCCTAGTATCACCTGTGACCTTGAGCCTGGGGGAGGGAAAACAGGGTACAGGGTAGGGACTGATGTGATGTAGCAGCTCTGAGAAGAGCAGAGGAAATGTCTGGGAGTGGTCCTCTTGCTCATTAACCTTTCTCTCCCCCAGGCTTGGGATCCTGTGATCTTGTTCCAGTCAAAGCAGTCAAGGATGGGATACTGGAGCTGACCCCTGCAGTGTCAGACCTTTTTGCTGCAGTAAACGCCTCATGTGTGGTCTGGAAGTGCTGTGAGGATGGAAAACTGGAATTGACCAACTCCAACACAAAGTATGTTGGCAACAACATCAGCACTAAGGTTGTGGGCAGTGACCGCTGTGAGGACATCACTCAGAACTACAAGTATCCTGCAGGTACTGGCCAGGGAAAAGCCCCAGGTTTCTCAGCACTGAAATGAGGGGAAGAGATGGGCCAATCAGATATAGGCCAGAAAAAGTCCCACACTTTTCTCCAATGTATCTATCCTCTATCCATGAGATGTCAGCACCCTTCACATCCAGCTGTGTCAACAAAAAGTGTATTCAGGCATTTCCAAATGTTGGCAAGGGGGGCGGTGTAAAATTCCCCGAGTTGAGAATTACTGCTATAAGACAATACACTCAATACCAAGCCCAGTGTTCAGAAGAGTTTTGCTGTTGCCTCCTTCCCCCTTGCCTCCAACACCCCAGCTCTTCCTTCATATTAGCCGGTGGCACTGCTTTCCACCTATTTATCAAAAGAAGAAGGGAGTCTTCCCTTTTCATCTCCATACACTATCCTCACATGAATCTGCATCCTGAGCTGTTTCTCATCACCTGGAGTTAATCCAGGCCTCATTACTTCTTGTCTACAAGATTACAACAGCTTGCTAACTGGGCCTCTGGCCTCCAGTATCTTCAACATGGTTCTCTTTCCAATTTTCAGTTTCCAGAATGAGCTAAGATAAAAAAAATCATTATGCACACCCCCAACTCCAGAATAGTCCGTGGCCCCATTACCCTTGGAGTAAGTCCAAATTCCTTCACATTTAATTCCCTGAAAACTGTCCTCAGAGACAATGTTGGCTTGTTGCAAGCTTACTCTCTCCTTGTTTAAGGGACAAATTCATTTCAGTTGAATAAGTTGGTCCTTGAGTGGCTTGGAAGAAACACATTATCTGTGGTGGCTCTGCCTAACACAGGCATTTTTGTGGGCTAAATATGGCCTTAGAGGTTTGCAAAGCTTTTGTGACTTTGATATCTGAGTAGAAATGGGGTAAATACACGTTAAACTTTGGCTTTAATTAGAAGGGTCTGTACCTGCTAGGTGAGAGGCCTGCTTTGTCTCTTCCATATTCCAGGTTCTCTTCAAGAAAAAGAAGTGATGGAGAGAGTCCAGGAAAAGAGAATGAAACAGTGGAAACCGAATGGCATCAGACCCCCCAGTGACAAGTGGGCTGATCCTCTATACCTGTTCTTGGAAGCACCCAGCTCCTTTCCTTTGAGAGGGGATGCCCAACTCTCAGTGATCCTGTTTAACCCCAGCGACCAGGAGAAGGAGGTGCAGCTGGTGACTGGGGTCCAGGCTGTGTATTACAATGGAGTGTTTGCTGCCAAGCTCTGGAGGAAAAAGCAGTTTCTAACACTCAGCGCCAACCTGGGTAACACTACAGCCCCACCAGACACCCTTGACACACCAGGCTCCACCCTGGACACTGCCACAGGTCTCCAGAGGAGGCTTTTAACCTCTGGTGCTCATGCATTCTCAATCAGCCATTCAACACGTGTTTATTGGGCCTGACATGGCAAAAAAAAAAAAAAAAAAAAAAAAAGCACAATCTCAACTGCAGTCAGATAAGCAAACAGACTTATCATAACAGTGAGGAGGCATCTGAGGAGGTGAACAGAATACAAGGGCAGGAGAGCATCTCACCTAGGCTGGAGTGGGCTGCCCCCAGATGACTCATGCCATGCTGAGTCTTGAAGGAGGTAGGAAGACAGAAAAGTGTGCTGGCATTCCAGACAGAAGGAACATGAGCACAGATTCCTCCTTCTCCCTGAGATTCTTGTTTAATTGGTCTGGGATGGGGTCCAGACACTGGTGTGTGTGTATATATAATTTTTTTTAAGCTCCATATGTGTTCTAGGGTTAAGATTCCCTGGATTAGAAGAGTCATTCTGAAACTTTGTCACCCGTCAGTCACTTGGGAAGTCTGATGCTTGGGCTGCATCCAGGCTATGAAATCAGAAACTCCATGGTAGACACAAACATCAGAATTTTTAAAACTTCTCAGATAATTCCAATGTGAGGCAAGTTTGAGAAACAGTGGGCTACAGTTTGCCTACAGGATCGCAACAGCTTCCTGACCATTTCCCTGCCTCCATACTCTCTGTCATCGTTCCCTCTCCAGGCACAAGGGGAATGGTGTGAGGGCAGTGGTGTCAGAGCTACAGAGAGCCCAGATGATGACGGATCTTGTATATGATGCTAAGGAGTCTTGTTTTTGTTCTCTGAAAAAGGGAAGGAAAAGCAGAGAATGGGAAAGAACTATGTGAGCATATATTCAACAACCATGTGTGTCAGCTTCTTCATTCAACATCATCTCATTTAGCACAAACCATCCCATTATTAGATAGACACTGAGGCCAAAAGAGCTTCCCTTCTTTTAATTCATGGGAACTTTTTCACACTGAAGTGGTCTGCCAAGAGTGTTGGTGGAAGTGGTATGGGGGAATGGAGGGTAAGAATAGGGTCTTGAGCAAGTGCAAAGTTTATAGCTGTGTGGGAATCAGGCCTCTTTCTGACCTCAGTGAGAGCTTGAGTCCTTTGCATTGTGTGAGGAACGATGGCTTGTTTCAGGGGTATATGCACTGACTCTGCTCATCATGTATTTCAGATATGAGAATAACTATCAGCCTGTCATTCTCCCATTTTGAGCGAAACCCACCGGAGAACAGCTTCCTCAGACTTACTGTGATGGCAACACATTCTGAGTCTGGTCTTAGCTGCTTTGCTCAGGAAGATGTCGCCATTTGTAGACCACGTCTTGTTATCCAGGTAGGCATTGGTTCTTCCCTGAATTGCTCTCATTTGCTGCCACTCTGGTTATTTCAGAAGGAAGCCCAGCTCCTCAAGCTTCAGAGCAGATGAGCATGTTGCATAATTGCCTAACAATGCTAGGTTTGAGAGCTCTTCTCTTGAAAGAGATGACCTCTTACATGTAAGATTAAGATTTTAAATTTCCAAATTTAAATGGTTAAGGTTTCTTAACCATACTTAAAGGATAATAATAAGCTGTATTTATTTAGCCCTTTATACATAAGCCAAAATATATTCACCTCCTTTATTTCAATACAAAAGCCTTATGAGGTGGAACCATTCCTCTTATTCAGATGAGGAAACTAAGTCTAGAGAGCAACGTATCCAAGAACATAAAAGTAGGAAGTTCTAGAAGCTTGTGGCGCTTGGTGCATAAAGCTTATGGCTCTTTCCACAAGTCTACCACAGCCAAAATGAATGAGATCTGATTCCTGTTCAAGGAAGTTTTAGTTTGGTAAAGGAGACACAACATTTGGTCTTCTACATAAGTGCTTTAAGAGAGGCAAAGTCACTAAGAGAAAACTGAACTAAAAGAGATTAACTCTAGCTGGTGGGTTTATGGACAATTTTGTGAAGGAGGTGACATTTATGATGGGCCTTGAAACATGGATATGCTTTTCAGTGCAGAGGTAGGGGAAGGCCATCAAAGGCAGAAGAGGACACACAGAGGTGCAAAGGAAAGGAGCCTGAGTGTTGGGCTAGGGATGGAAATTCCCTGACATGGCTGGAGCATCCTTAGGTCAGGGGAAGAACCAGTAAGGTTGAAAAGGTGGGTTTGGAGCAGATTGTGATGGACCCTGAATGCAAACTAAGCTAGATTCTGAAAGCAATGGGAGACCCTCCAAGATTTCTAAGCAGAGAACAGGCACCATCAGAGAGAGTCCATGATGGATAAAGGGTGGAGAGTAAATATAGAAACATTGGGGAGAAGGCAAATAAGTCAACTGAGCAGTTTGGGTCAGGGTGGCAGAGATGAGTTGCATAACTGAGGAGGGAAGGGAATGCACAAGAGGGGAAAGTGGGACAGATTCTGTGCCCTTTGCATCATTCCATGTGTTGTCCTTTCCCACAGATGCCAGAGACAGCCAAGCAATATCAACCTCTTACAGCCTCAATTAGCATCCATAACTCCCTAGACTCCCCCATGATGGACTGCATGATCTCCATCTTTGGAAGGGGGCTCATTCACAAAGAGAGGAGATACGGGTAAGAGACTGATACATCTGGTCAGAAAGGAAGAGACCCAAAAACAATGATTTAAAAAGCCATTTCCCATGGCTTGGAGGCAGAAAATAGATCTCCTGAAGTTGAATTAAATGAATTATATGATTTAGACTACCAAATGACCTCTCTTCCATGTCCAGTTAGGGGTGAGTGGTACCTGTAGGGGCTCCTCAGGCACCCACTTCACCCTTGTTGTTACACTGATCATGCAGGGAGAGCCTGGGTATTGCCAGTGAATGTGGAGAGGAGGTCAAGGTTAAGTACTAGAGAATATCACAGGGAGGGTGAGCTGCAACCACAACATACAATTTTAATTTATTCCCTATTATTCTAATTCCCTACTTGCACTCACACCACTACCCTTCATATCCTTTTCTATTTGTGTGTCCTTCCATGAGTATGTGTAAAATGTGTACCATTGCTTCATGAGTCTTTGTTTTTAACTTATATAAATGTCTACTTGTATCTTTTCACTCAGAACTGATTTTAAGATTCATGGACATATTTCAAGTTCATTGCTTCTGCTACATAATAATCCTGATGTGCATCCATCACTTCTTACCATTCCATGATGATAGCCACCCTTAGTGCCTCCAACTGTGACACCATAAATATTGTTGCAGTGAACAGCCTCACATATGTCCCCCCTATATGCTTGGTTAAGACTCTGATGGGGTCAGGGGACATATATGCCCAGGAATGAAACGCTGGGTTACAGGATATGATCTGGTTTGACAAGGTACTTTCAGATTTATTTGCAGAATGGTTGCAGAAATCTACACTCCCTCCAGCAGTACATGAGTTTCTATATCCTACCTCTCCTCCATGGTAGCAATAATTATTAATTAATTAATTATTAATTTCTTCCAGTCTAATATAAAACCAGTAGTATCTTACTACTGTTCTAATTTGCCACTCTTCATTTTTCTTCACTGCTTCCACTTCTACCTTTACAAAAAGTCTATCCTTATCTTTACCAGTCTTCTTTTGGTAGTCTTGCCATTTTTTCTTGTTGATTTTATTCTACACTGTAACACTGTGTACTCTACATTAGTCCCTTGTTGATTAGATGTTACAATATTCTTTTAGTATGTCCACTGCATCCTTCATTGGTTATATGATATAGAGTTCAAGATCCCCATTTCTGTCTTCCCCGAGATCCCTGACAGACAATCAGGTTATTGAGTCACTGCCTCAGCCTCATGGAACTAAATGAGCCACTCTAACCAGTTAAGATTTTACCAGACTTTTTGTGGTTTACCAGGTCCACTGTGTGGCAAAGCTCCTCAAAAGAAATCCACACCATTCTCTCAGTCACCAAAAGGCCTTCAGCAGGCCAGGAGTTGATAGGGCCTTCAAACATCACCAACTGACACAATGATATTCTGACACAATGCTTCACCCACTATGCTTAGAACTAAGTGAGGGTTCCAACACTATTTTCCAAACATACACCCATCCTATTACCAAGAAATGACAGACTGAATCACAGATAATAAAAGGAAAATGAGAAGCAACCCTTAATATTCTTCTCTTTCAAAATATGCAGTTGCCCAGTGTAGGGAGATTCTGGTCTTCTATTCTTCTAACCACCTCTGGCTTAAAAGCTATTTACATAGATGATTTTTTCATGGTCCACCTCTTCAAGCAAAGAACAGAGTTACCACAATGAGGACAGCAACGAACCTGTGACAGATTTAGCACCCACTTTTTCCTTTATTTCAGATTAGGTTCTGTGTGGCCTGGAAACACCTTGAGCACCCAGTTCAAGTTCACACCAACACAGCTGGGGCTCCAGAGGCTCACCGTGGAAATGGATTGCAACATGTTCCAGAACCTAATCAACCACAGAAGCATCACTGTGGTAGCCCCAGAACTTTCAGCTTAAATTTCCCAGCTCTAATCACCATTCTCCTCATAAACTCTTGAAACTACACTCTAAAACCAAACATGTGCTGCGGAGGGAAACTCTGTCAACCAATGGCTCTCCATTCAGGTTGCAGAAGAGTGACCAAGAACAAAGTTAGATTCCGAGAAACCAAAAGACCTGTCAACTGGCTTAACGCAGCCCTGAGGGCTAGATGTTTTAGAACAGAACCATTAGGTCAGAGTGACAAAAGGACGCCTTTGAAAAGGTACTCAGATCTAACTTTTCAAAGTATGAAACGTATATCTACATATTTGCCTTTTCAGAGTATATTCAGATTTTCTAAGTTTGGGGCTTTTCACAACTTTTACTGAATAATAAAACATTCACTAACTTAGAGGCAAGGGAAAGGACCTAATGTGCAAATCATTATTCCATTTCTGATAAAGTAGTATAATATTAGCTAAGACTGAAATTTTTAGATAATCATAAAATTATATTGATTAGTGCTATCATTACCCTTAAAGATCCAAAGATGACTGAACAAATGTATAAAATATATAACTCAGGCCACATGTGGTGGTGCACACCCATAATCCCAGTGACTTGATAGGCTGAGGCAATGGATCCTAAATTCAAGGCTGGCGCTGGCCACTTAGCAAGACCCTATCTCCAAAAAAAAAAAAAAAAAAAAAAAAATGAACTGGGGATTAGCTCAGCTCAGTGGTAAAGTGCCCCTGGGTTCAATCCTCAGTACCAATTTTTTAAAAAATTTAATACATATACACACATCTAAATGCATAAAAATATATATACTCACACACCATACATACATACACATCTAAAAATGTGTACATATGTGTATGTACACACATGCATGTGTGTATATATACATATTTATATATTTGTAGATAAGTGTTTATATATATATATATATATATATATATATATATGGTGTATATATATGTATATACACCCTATATAATTATTTACAACACAGAACCTAAGAGCAGAATGACCTACGTTTAGCTATAAATATTTATTAGAATTCTATATTCATTAAGTATCCCACAACTAAACACTGATGTTAATAACATGTATTTGGTCCAGTAAAGAAATATGAAAATTAAGTATATAGAAAATAGGCCCTATAAAAAAAGAATAAATGAATAAGAGTCGTTTTGTATAAAGTTGTGATTTGTTTACATTATGTTGTTGCTTCAGTAATTCACTAGTTTTAGTTCTTTTTTTTTTTAATAAATAAATTTTTTAGTTGTAGATAGACACAATACCTTTATTTTATTTATTTTTATGTGGTGCTGAGGCTTGAACCCATTGCTTCACACATGCCAGACAAGCGCTCTACCACTGAGTCACAACCCAAGACCCTTAGTTCCTTCTCTTTAAAAGTGCAGAATGGAACTTTTAAAAAAATAGGTTAAAACTCATTTGGTTTAAGGAATTTCAAATCCAAGGATGTACTGGTCACTGAAAATAATGACTGTTATTGTTGATTATACCTTAAGAAAGACAGGTTGCAGAGACCTATAGTACATACAATAGGCCCAATTCAAGTCACCACATAAACGACATTTATAGCTTTACTCCGCTTTACAACATGTGATCTTCTAGATAGATGCAAAAATATAATTAAGTGGAGATAATTTTGCAAAAGAATGTACCAAATAAACTTAAATTTATATAAACTCTAATATATAAAAACTTTTGATTTATATACTGTGGTATTTATCTTTGGGAATGTAATATACAATAGAACAATAACAATAATGTATAAGGAAAACAGATCTGTTTAATAAAGTAGAAAAACCTAAAAATGAGCTCAATACCAACATATTTTAGAGGCAAGGAGTAACCTGGGGTAATATTCAGAAGGAATTACTGATGAGAATAATATTATGTAACATGCTAAAACACTAAGGGGCTTTTTGCAGTCATTTTCTCTAAATAAATTAATGTCAAGTGTTTTTGTTCTAAATAGACTTCTGATCAGAATCAGATATTTAACCAGGTGCGATGGCACACACCTATAATCCCAACAGCTTGGGAGTGTGAGGCAGGAGGATCACGAGTTCAAAGGCAGCCTTAGCAACAATGAGGCGCTGGGCAACTAAGTGAGACCCTGTCTCTAAATAAAATACAAAAAAAAGGACTGGGGATATGGTTCAGTGGTTGAGTGCTCCTGAGTTCAATTCCTGGAAACCCCCCCGCAAAAAAAAAAAAAAACAAAAATCAGATATTTATGCTTATAAACCCAAATGAAAGTAATGGTGGTCTCAGCAGACTGCATTTCTGGTAGGAAGAAACTTTGGAAGGGTATTCATTTAATTGCTAGCAAATAGTTAGCATTTCATTGAGACCACTGGCATCTGTAACAATGAAAAACATACTTTATTGCAAATAAGGATTAAGGCAGCTTCCCTAGGAGTCTCTGAGAGGCCATTCAGGAATACTGATTCATGCAATTATCTTTTGTATCTAGCAGAAAAATATATCATACTCATACTGTTTATAAATAATTGCCAATCTGGCTTAACCAATAACTTTGGTAATAGAGTCTCTTGTTAAATATAGACAGGAATTCCCTTTCCATCCAGCAAGTATTCTAGTTCCATTCTTAAAAGCAGACATTATAGATCTGGCTGGGACAATAAGAGAGAGTAAAAGGAGAATATGAATGCACCTGAAAACTCATAATTAAATTTCACTCTGAGTGAGCTCCTTAATTCTGTTCATGCAATGATCAACAGCATTAATGAGTAAAGGGATCCAACTATCTTCTGGCTGAGGGGTCACATGACTTGCTCTGTAGAATAAAATGGGGGGGGGGAAAGTTTACTATGAGGTCATGGGAAAATCTATCCTCAGGAGAGTGCACAGAAGAAACTACAGTAAAAGGCAAGTTTCTTCACAGAAACCAAAACTAAAAGAAAACCCCAATCCTTCCCTTTCCTATTTCTTGAAGTGGGAACTTGGGAGTTAAGAAAGTCAGACAGACACTCAGCTTTATTCTCAAAAGGCTAGCTAGGGAGAAGTCTTCATACTTACTTTGTAATTTCGAGTGCCTTCCTTAAAACAGATACAAGTTTTGCAGACTAGAAAAGAAACAGAGAAGTTAATCACCCTGAACCCTGCCATTAAAAAGGTAAAGGAGAGCTTGAATTTTTAATAGACCCCCAAAATTAAAAAAAAAAAAAAACGGTAAAACAAGAATTCATTTAAAAAGAACCTTGAATATACTCAAAACAAAAATGCTGACTAGGTTGAGGTGGCAGGATTATAAATTCTTTTCTATTTAGCAAAATATTACTAACATTGTTGCTATAACATTTTTTCTAAGTTTTTAAAACTTAAAATATTTCTAATTTTTAAAAAAGAAGAGAAAAGAATGTAGTCTGAATTTATCCTATCTGCTAAGAGCTCAAAATATAAAGCAGAAATAACTAATGTTCTTTACTTTAAAAATGTACAGAATTTTAACAACACCAATATCAAGTTAACATGGGGAGGTGGGGGACACAGCTCCATGGTAGAACATGTGCTTACCATGCACAAGGACCTGGGTTCAATTCTCAGCACCAAAAAACAAAAACAAAAACAAAAAAAACCCAGAAATGAGGATGTATATATCCCAACAATATACAGTAAGACATATAAAGATTACATATTTTTAATTTCTTTAGTAGTTATTATTTGGGATAATTGAATATTATTAATAGGCATACTGCTAAAGATGTTTAATTCTTAGGAAGTTAACTTTTAAACTTAATGCCAAAACAACAAACAAAAAATTTAATGCCCTAAGGATACTATTCTTATTCAAGGTGTTTGTACGCTATGAACACACATTTTGATGAATCTAATTTCCACTATCAAATTTATCAAATATTAGGAGGGGTACATCTGACTATAAAACATAAGTCATTTGGGGGGCTGGGATTGTGGCTCAGTGGCAGAGTGCTTGCCTCACATGTATGAGATACTAGGTTCGATCCTCAGCACCACATAAAAATAAATAAATCAATCAAATTAAAAAAAAAACACCTCAGCAAATATTTATAATGCACAAACACATGCGAGAACTGTGACATTACTGTTGTGACATTACTTTTGCACCCAAGTGAGACAAATAAATAAGTACCCTATACTTTACAGAAAATACTAGTGACTAGTGAAATTCTACAAATAGGTCTATAACTCCTCCCAAAAAGTCAATACTCACATTGATTCGCACAGTCAGGTGGCACATAGGTGGATATATGCTCAGAGCCAAATCATCCACGCTAGGAGCAGAAAGAAAAATAACCATTATCATATTCAACAACAAAAACAAAGGAACTAAGCTAGCTAGGTTGTTTCTAGTATACAACTATGGACGTAACTAGGGAGAAACTGGCTGTCCCAGAAACGCTTGTCAGTTCCTTAAATTGGGCAACCAGGCAACCAATGAAAAATCAATTTATCCAGTATTCGCTGAAACATACATACCCTATTTCACTAGGAAACAGGGATGGGAGGGAATGCCCTTGGTTCGTTCATAGGACAGGACATGATTAATTTAGTAAAAAATGTGAGGATCTGAAATTATCAATTTAGTAACTGATAAAGGCTCATCAATGGAAGCTAAAATTGTTACATAAAAGACACCCTTACTAAAGAAGACACCACTTAAAACATGATCAAATTTGGGATTATCAATAATGGAACAAACTGATATCATGACTTCCCCAATATGACAGAAGGCACAAAACATAACAGCTATATGATAGTCTTGCAAAAAAAAAAAATGTTTAACCTGACTATAATCCCTAGAAAATTATCCTATGAATACAAATTGTTAAGGTATTCTATAGGACAACTGATGGGTTTTGTTTTGAAATGTCAATGTCAAAAAGAGACTGTATTAAACTGTAAGAAACTAATTTGAGATCTTGATAGAAACCTGGATTTTAAATAAAATATTTTAGAGACAAAGGGAAAAGCACGACTGTTGGATAATATTA